AACTCTACCTACTTTTGTCTAAATAACCCCAGGCTTTTGGGCATCTATTCAACCACCTAAATTAGCATGAGGCGATGGTTTCTGTCAGCAACCAGAGCCAGTCTCAGTCTGCCACTAGTAAATATACTCCTTTAAGCAGCTGGGATGCAGAAAAGATTTCTGTTTTGCTCCAAAATGCTGCTTAAATTACTACCAAGTTTATTTCCCCAGCCCGCCCGCCCCCCACTTTTTTTTCAATAACTCAATTTTTCAAAGATAAACTGAGTTAGTTTCTTTTTCCACTTCCTATAAAAACTTGAAGGTTCTCCTGCAGAATGCCGAGAATCTCAAGGATCTCATCTCTGCCTCTTCCCTTCTGGCTCACAAGTCAGTTTGTAATCCTTTACTGATACTAAATACACAAACACCTTTTAGCAAGTATTTCCGTTTAAAATATTCATACATCTTTGAGAAAAAAATCTGAATAGCCATTGGGTTCTCTGACTAAACTGAGAGCAAACAAAACACTGGGAAATTACTTGAAGTTACCATGTTCAGCTTAAAACAGGAGCCAACAGACACCTAACTGATAAGATTAACTAAATAAAACAGAATGTAAGGTAACCTAGGACTAGTAAAAGTACTTAAGTGAAACCTGACTACATGTAAATATTTTCCCCCTTGACACTCTATTTCTCACTTTTCATTATGAGTAGATTAAATTAAAAACCATTCCTAATAGACACACTGAATTATTTCAGATTATAATGCTATACATTTCAAAAGTGTCTTGGCTCCCATGCCTCCCTTCTAGCATGCCTAGAAGGGATGCTCATCCCTTCTAAATGTATTTTCAGATAAGAGCATCAAGACTCAGCTACTCCACAAGGAAACAGAGGCTGAGACGAGAAGACTCAAAAATCAGAAAAGGTCCAGTGGAGGTCCTGCAAAGATTTGGTCAGCAGCAGAAAAACCTGCAGCACTCTTAAATTTCCACACTATGGAAATAATCTCTCTGCAGACAATGGGGAATGACTAAAGAAAAAATTCTTCCTAGGGTTGTTCCTAAGCAGAGAAATTCAGCCCTTACTGGATTTCAGATCATCACCAATGGACAACAGCAAAGGTCACAAAATGCACTGGTTTGGCTTTTAAAAGCTAAGACATTTCCTGTCCCATGTTACACCACTGAATCACCTCCTCATTCCATTTATTTTTCATGGGATTTTCAGAGCTTAAATATCAGATCTTAAATATGAAAACTGCATTTTTCATCTTTCTAGCCAGAAACTCACCATGACTAATACCAGCAAAATATAATAAATGAGATACTGGAATTTCTCCTGTAATTGGCTTTTGCACCACTGAAACTTTGGGGATACAAATTATGCTCAATAATCACATTGATTCTTATTTCTTATTGTTTATGCAGTTTTCTTTTAAGACATATAATGAAAGATTCTTTGCCATTAGTGAAAGTTTTATAGGATGGGAGAGGAAAATAATTCTTCTGTGGTAAAGTTTTTCAACAGCAGAAAAAAAAAAACCCTTTCAAAAAGACAATTTCCTCAACTTATTATTCAAGTTTTTACAGTGGCTTACATAGAAAGCAATTAGGTTTAATCTCCATTTAATTTTATGGAATGCCTCCAGAAGAGCTCTCGACACAAAGCTAAGACTCCAGTAAGAACAGTGCAAAGATGATGAGAACTCTGCTAATATTATCCTCACAGAGATAGCAGAATTGCAATTCTTATGTGTTTCTGATAAAAAGTATTATGGGCATAATGTTCAAAACTCTCTAGAAATTGCTCTTTGAGTTTACACTGGCAGTGGCTGCATGAGAGCAAATTTCTTCACACAGACACTGAAGTGCAGACAGCAGAATTCAATCCAAAAAGGGCCAGAGGTACAAGGAAAAGTCACTTAGAATGCTGGAAAGCAAAAGGAAGATATGAAACCTCTTTTTGAATAATCACTAGGACTAAAATATTCTGTTAACTGTTAATACTTTTAAATCACAGGTATTCAAATTTAGAAATATCTCTCCCATTCTTTTAAATACCTGGTTGAATGAAAATTGCCTTTCTGTAGACTGGCTGGAGTTATACTGGATTATTTATCTGTCAAAACCCACTCAAAATATCTAGTGGGTTTTTTTGGTAGCTTTGACCTGTAAGTGACCCAAGAAAGGACTATTTCTCTGTGAATTAGTAACAACTCTGCACCTCCCCTGCCACTGCTGCCCAAAACCCTGCCCTTCCAAACCTCCGAAATGAGGAGAAAGCAGCTTGCAATACACCTGCTTAAAGGTGTTTTCAGAAACTCTTAAGGAATGAAATTTTTAAACTGTTCAGATAATCTAGTTAATAAGTGGAGATTGTTAAAAATAGATGGAGGTAATCTTTAAAATTTAATACAGATACCTTACTGGTAGCTTCAGTGCTGGGGACCAAATACGAATTTACAAAAAAAAAAAAAACCAAGAGCATTTCAAATGAGACAAAAGACTAATAGATATTCATGCATATCACCACATGGTAATAGCAGGGACGGAACTGTTCATAACTTCAATTTAACACAGAATTTAAAGACAGGCAAACTGTAGGCTCTTTTGCTATCACTTTTTTCAAGTACGCCTCATTTTCTTTATCACTTCATACTGGCTACAAGCTTTTTGGCCACAATCTGTTTTATAAATAGCCCCCTCATCCTTTCTGTGTATTTTGAGATACCAGGGTGTCAAGCACTGGCTTTCACCAGCAGGAATAAGCCTGATAGTGCTAATCTGTGGTATAAGCAAATCAAACTGAGTGGCAACTCCAAGAAGAGGCTGGTTGTTAGGAAAGAAGCATGCTAGCAATCATCATTTCTCAGAACAGAGCATAACAAATGCACTGCTGTTAGATGGGAATTCATTACAACATCCATACATAAAAAAGAAATAAGGATGGGAAGGTGCAGCTTTCACTTCAAGAGCCAGGGAGGGTCCAAAGACCAGGAATTTATGAGGTGATATTCACCAAAGCAAATGGGCCACGGTTGCCCCATATTAGTCAAATTTCATCAGTGTCAGGACTGCATTCCCTTTAACCCTGGTGCTGATCCTTGTTCCCTGCTTTCCACTGGTAACTCACACTGGTCCAGATTTGGGTGCTGAATTATCCCCCAAACTGGTAATACTGGAAACCAAACGAGCAGTTTTCCACTGGCACGCCTGTCTGAGACATAATCAGGGAAATGAAATATCTCTGTGATCATCACAGCAGTGCCTGTCAGTGTCCAAGCGTGGGGACAAACACAGAAGGGTGACTGAAATCCTCATTCTGAGCTGCTCTGCGTGTTCAGGCTCACACTGAACAGAGAAGAGGAAAACACAAAAGCAGAGTGGTGATGCTGGCAAATATATTGGTTCCGCCAGCTACATTTTAGCAGGGGAAGGCTGAAAAAGTGTGAGGTAAATACTGGCAAACTGGGGAAAAAAAACCCAGGAAAGTGCAGGAGCTTAAGGCAGAAAAAAGGTGAAGACAAGGAAGTGTGGAAGGATGCTGAAGTGCCAAGGCAGGGACATATTCCAGGTCAGAAACAGATATGTCCAGGGCAGTTCTAACAGTAGTTTTATTATAATTAAGTGTTGTGGGAATGAACAAGGCCTTCTACTGTCTGGAGTGAATGAGTATCACATAAAACCCAGTTTTTTCCAGAGTGAAAGCAAGTACCAAGACACCAGAAATTTTAACATACAAGAATCCCTATTTTGAGGGTCTACCCAGAAGACCTTGGCCAAGTCGTGTTAGGCTTCAGGAATAAATAACTTCTTCCCTTCTCCCTCCCTCCCTCTTCTTCCCTCCAAACCCTGAAAAAAACCACAACAATTTTGACTGCCATCAGAACAGAGAGAATTTTATATTGAACAATTGCCCTGGGCCACCCTGGGCCACTCAGCTGAATTAAGTCAAAGGGACTGCTGGCAGGCTTAAAATAGGCATGTGTTTAAGAGCTTTGCTGGCCTTGTTGCTGCAGTGAAAAAAAAAAAAAAGAAGCTGCAGATGCATAAATTTGAAATTGAAAATATCATCAATATCTCCAAGACACAAAGTATAATTAGAATTAGTAATTAATTCTGGTCTACATTGTCTTGCACAAAGCTTAAATGAAAGCAAAGTGAGATACCAGATACTCTTTTTCCTTTCCTATTTCTTTGTATTGCTGTAAAAACAGGTTCAGTAACCACAAGAAAGAAAGATATGAGATTCTTTGCCGTGTTGAGGGGTTGTACCACAGCAAAGACACTAAAAAATATCTATAGCACAGCACCAAGAGGGCTGACACTGCGAGGATGACATGGGAGAAATGCAAGAATCCCTTGATAAGAGTTCTTATTATCACTTTGGTGATTTTCAGCACTTTGATTTTGTGACAAGCCTTCCTGCACTGTGTCACAAATAATTTCCCTCCCTTTCAGACTGTGGGTCTAAGCAGCAGCAGATTTCTTCCTGCCAGCTTCCATAAGGAAAGCAGGGCACCCTCCTGGCAGCAGAAATCTGCAGTGACCACTTTTGTGACGCTCTCAGATACTTTTCAGTGGTCTATAACTTGTTTTATTTTAAGGGAAGGATGGCTCTTCTGGGCCTGCTCCATCTAGCTAGAGTCACCTTTAGGGAAATATTGTCATCTGATCAATGGTGGTCTGAGGATGAATCCGTTCAGAACATCATTCAGAAACAAATTTACAAAAATTTGTATCAAGAGGCCCTGCAGGACTGCAAAGAACATGCTAGGTAGATGTATTTGCAAATGTAGGTGAAGTTTCTGCTACTACAGAAACTACAAACATCTCTTTGCATCTTTTGCAAAGAAGAGTCTGTACAAATTCGAAGTGGCTCTGCCAACACAAGTGCTACAACTGCAGTCACCCTGATGTGTCTTAACAGGCATTACTTCCAAAAAAACATATTTTGATAGATCAAAGTGGGCTCTAAGCCTAATTGCAGCCATTTAAAATGGAAGATATTACTCACCCTTTCAGAGCTCAAGCCTGTGAGCCAGCAGGCAGTGGCTCAGACACGCCTGAAGCCCTGCCATGGATGGAGCCTGTCCATAAGGACACGTGGAGAACTCACAGCAGTCGTGGGCTTGGTGAAGAATTTATTTGTGAAATCCCGTGGCCTGCGATAAGCAAGAGGTCAGAACAGGTATTAGAAAAAGTCCCTTCTGACTGGAAAATCTGGCAGACAGCTGATCCATGTATTCCCAGGTGAGCCTGATGCCTGTAAACCCCCCCAACACAAGCACCCCACGAACTGGAAGTTTCAGAGCAGACACTTCACACCCCAAGATGCCCTCACAATAACAATTACTGCAGAAAGACAGGCTGCAATTTGCCTCATCAGCCTTTCGAGCAGCAGCAGACTAAGCCATTAGCAATTAATTAAAGATAAATGACACGTAAAACCCCAAGGAACACAAACTCAATTAGCAAATGTATTTAAAGCAAGCCACAAACCCACAAGTTATTGTCTGACACCGCTCTCCAGCTCATCCCACTCCCTTTACCAGCCAGGGGGGCTGTGGGAGGGTTACCTACAGAGTTCCACTTGGCAAAGCACATTTCCAACACCGTGCACTGGTCCAAAGCCCACGGACATGAGTCATCATCAGTGAGAGTTTTCCTCTTTATTCCAGTGGACCTTGGACAGGCTGTAAACATCCTTGCCAAAACGCGTAGTTTCTAATAGATAAATATTCCCTGCTTTCACTGGTTTGATGACTCGGGAATGGCTGGATTGCCCTGTACAGTTCAAACTGAGACACCACTTGGCAAACATCCTGCGTGCAGCATCAGCAGCCCCAGAGGGTGCAACACGGGGTTAAATTTAAGTTTAAACAATTGCTTTGCATTGGAAGTTAAACTCCTCTGACATGTGCTGAGTAGTTTCATAATCTCTTATATCTCCAAAGAGCCCTATGATCCCCAGCAATTAGAAGGAAAAAGAATTTAAATTGAAAGGCAAAAAGGATTTGGAATTCCTAGGCAGAATCTCAGAAATGGCTACAGTTTGTCACAGCTTCTGGAATAGGAAGAAACTGTATTTCTTTCCTCCCCAGCTCCAAAGTCCCGAAGGTAATTCTGCCTGAACGAGCCTCCAGCCAGATCTCTTCATGCTGGACATTTTTACTTTTTACATGGTTTTGCTTCTTTAATGAAAGAGTTACAACCAAACCTCAGCTGAACTACTGGAAAACGACGGTGACGGTGACAATAATACCAGGAAGAAGAAGAAGAAGAACAAGAAGAAAGCACAGAAAACACAACCCACCCACCCACCCACCCCCCAGAGCCACGCATTTCCATTCCCGTGTGTGCAGCCGCACTTACTTCCTCCACCCGGACCCTCCACCCGGGCTGTCCTTCCAAAAAAACACAGACCAAGCGGCCAAACCAAGGGGAGAGAGACGCCAGCAGCAGCCTCCGGCTCGGCTGTCACCACAGGACCTCGCTCCATCAATCCTCCTCCTCCTCCTCCTCCCCCGGCCGTACCCGCGGAGCAGCAGCGACACAAAGGAGCGCCCGGGTACCGACAGGGAAACAGTGCGAGGAGACGAGGGATTCATCCTTTTCTCGTCACACGGGAGTTAAAAAACCCCAACAGAGCCGTGTCTCGACACTCCGAGGGGGATGAAGCTTTCCCAGAGCCGGCTGCACCTCCGGAGCTGCTTCGGTGCTGATGGAAATGATGGAAGCATCCGAGTTGCCGGGACTCGGCTGTATCGAAAATGACAGCTCCAAGTTCCAGAGATAGCCATGGCTAAACCCTGAGGCTAATATTCTTCCTTGCCTAGCCACAGTTCTCCATTTCACTGCCTCTGTCACGCTTGCTTTGTTCAGAAATAAAGGACTATTGCAGGGCTGAGATGGTATTTCACAGAATTGCTGTGAATGCTGCTGCCCATTAAAGCAGCGAGATGGACTAAAATTTTACTAAAAGGCAAATCAGGGGCAAGGAGGAGTTGCCCTTGGTTTGCCTTCCTGCCAGTGAAGCAGAAAAATGCCCACCTATATCTGCACCTGCAAGTTCACCCCCAGCTGCACTTCCAGGTGGAAATGGAAACAGCACACGGGTGCTGTTAAAATAAAAAGGGTATTAAAATGTGTATTAAAATAAAAAGGGATAGCTGGACATGGGCTGTCCAAGTCACTCAGCACACCTTAGCAGGAGGCAGGTAAAGTAAATTAAGCAGAAATTCAGGTGTTCAATGCAGCAGGAACATCAACAAAGTCACTTGGATCCCAGCTTTGCAAACAGATCTGCAGCTTCAACTCCTGGCACCTTGGAGATCTTGTTGCAATGGATGTCTCATTTCCTGGAGAAGAAGCTTGCATTAATGCCTAGTTTATAAATCAAACCTGTGTGTATCACTGTGGTTTGGTGTTTTGATGCTTTTCTCCACTGCACGGAGAGATATGTGCCACCTTTCTGGGTGCAGATCTCCAGGGAATATGCAGGGAATGTCATACTAAGGAAAAAACCCAACCCAAATCAAAACAAAATGAAACACCAAAACAAACAAACAAAAATATAAAACAAAAACCAAACAAAATTAAAAAAACAAACAAAAAAAAAACAAAAACAAAAAAAAAAAAAAAACCACCAAAACCTTCGAGAAAAAAAACCTCAGCTGTATCACCTTGTTGAACTAGTCCCTGGGAAGGACTCAGGCTGGAGAGAAAGGAAGGGAAAGGACTGGACTGACACAATATTACGTGGCCCAAGTCTCATTTCTTTAGGTGGCAGGCCAAAACTGCCTGGCCTCTAGTAAGACCCTGAATTTTGCACACCCTGACCTCGTGTCTAGGGGCATTCCAGTAACCCATGTCACACCTTTGTTCTTTTGCCCTCTCTTCAGCAGAAGTGAGTAGATGCAAGTGTGTCCATTTCAGTGAGATATGTGGCTGGGAGGGATTTAGTTTTTACCCTTGTAATCAACCATGTATGCCTCAGAAGGCAGCACTGAGGGAAAGTGAGGAAGGTCTGGAGAGCCCTTGGCCCCTGAAGCCCATTCCATGCACAAGACAGACAGCTGGGAGTATTTGTCTCCTGCAGGAACTCATTTTGGATAGCCTGGTCATATGCCATTTATCTCTGGAAGATCCAGCCCAAGAGCCAGAATCTGATCTACAAGAGGTGAGGTCAGAGCACAGAGAATGGTTTTGTTGTTCTTACCATGATTTTTTTGCCAAAGCAGCTCAAGCCATTATTTGGTTGGAGTTCTCTATATGGAAACTGTTCTGTTCTCACAGCTCCAGTTGTGACTTTCAAAAACTTAGGTTTGGGTCTACAAAGTAAAGAATGGGATGAAGCCTTCTTGCCAGCAGGGCATGATGGAAAAGAAGAGAGATGTTATTGGTAGACTATAAAGAAAAAACCGCCTGGGAAAACCAAACCAAACCAAACCAAACCAAACCAAACCAAAAACAAACAAAAAACCCCAAAACCAAAACAAACAACAACAACAACAACAACAACAACAACAACCAAAAAAAAAAAACCAAAAAAACCCAAAAACCAAAAAAACCCCCAAACCCCCAACCAACCAAAAAAACCCCAAAACAACAAACCAAAAACAAAACAAAACCAAAAAGCCCCAATAACCCTAAACCAAAAACACTAAAAAAAAAAAATCTTGTAAACACTTGCACATGGGGCTTTGTTTACTTCCATGTGTACTTAATCCAGATGGCCATGTGATTACAGCTGAATCTGAGATTGTGTATCACAGGCCAGTTTGGACAGGAAGACACTGTGCCTGGAGTGCTGGGCCTAAAGGAAATTAGGACATTTTCTTCTGTGTCCTGTGTACAATTTTAAGACACAAAAAAAGAGTCAGAGAAGCAGAACATATAAGAAAGTAAGCCCCATGAGTATTTCTTTTATATAGTTACTGGAAGAAGATGGGATATTGCCTATGTGCTTTTTAATTGGCCAGAAATAGGAAATAAATCCATCTATCCATCTATTCAAGCTCCTTTTCCTACAGAGATAGTGCATTATGAGGCTTTGCACTCCTGCCAATACTCACTGTCAAAAGAGTAAACTGCCAGTTTTCACAAAGTTGCATATTGCTCCATAAATATATTGCCAGCAGGGGCAGATACTCTCTCATTTCAATATCTGTGTTATACTTTAACACATTTGATTGGAGAGATGCATGTGCTGGGAGACTGCTGCATTTCTTACATTCAAGAATAAAAACAAACAAAAAAACAAAAAAACCAAACAAACAAAAAAAACCCCCCATCAAATTAATATATGATGCATCCTTTCTTGTTTTTGGAAAATGAACCAAATGAATGTTGAATGTTGGTAGCTGTGCCACCAACACTCCATATTGACACATTCCCACCTCCTATCCCTGTGTCCAAACTGATGAAAAGAGGGTTTCCACTCTCTTAAAAGTGTAGAACAGTGTAGAACACTGGAAGGTTTTTGGCAGCACAGCCCTAATGGAAAAGCTCAATCTCACTCACAAAAGCCATGCAATGGACAAAAGCTATTATGGAAATCCTGTTATCATTCACTTTACAAAATAAATGGGGAAAAAGTATCTGGCACTGGCTACAGAGGAAAATCTCCACAGTGACAGAAAAAGGAACAAGGGATTAATCAACTCTAAAATGATTAAGAACATTCGTTTTAGCTTTTTTTTTTTCCTTTCCCAAAACAGACCTTACTAAAGTAAAATAAAGGCAAAATGCTTTCTGAGATCTCTGCCAGTCTCTGTCAGTTCTGTATTTTGGGAAATGGGGTGAGTCCACATGACCTCTGCTGTCTCTATCTTTGAGATAATGCTGTTACATTTCAGAAGACCACTTGAGCTACGGTTGACAAGTGCTCTATGCAATTCTCTTACCACAAAACCTCAGTAAGGGAAAAACCTGGGCCCTCTGAAACCATCTCAAATCATAGAAGAAAAGTGAGTGGCACTAGCTGATAGAGGTAATTCAGATCTTTGATGTAATAGTAACCCATGGAACAGTTAGAAGTTTCACTGTAGCATTATGAACTGCTGAAAGTGTAGAAGATTTTGTCTCCAGAGCCCTGTTCTTCTGCTAATGGTGATGGAAAACACTGTGGATCCATGATCTGGCTGAACTTGCCTCAAGTCCTCTGCTATAAAAATGGCACAGATCTCCCTCCTGGGAAATCTTGGATAGTTTCAGACCCCAACCTGAGTGGATTGAAACTGCTAAACTGGAAGAAAGTTCAGTTTCTTAATCCCCACGCCCCAGAAATTTTCCATTTTAGGGAATACATCAAAACTGGGTGCAAATTATCTGTCAAATGCTGAAGACACTGCAGGATGAGGCCATGAAGGAACAGCCCATTTTCACCACAGCAGATCAGCTGACTTCCTATTAAATCATACTCCAAAACTTAAGAGTTTGCCATGAATCCTGTTGTATTCCAGTTTGCTGCTCCAGCCAGGCATTGTGTCTGGATTCTTCCCTCTGTGAAGACACATCTGTCAAGTCAACCTACTTAAATTCCTAGTGAGAAGAAAATACTGAATACCACCATGATAAGAAGAACAGAAATGTAGAACGTAGGGATTAGCTTCTGTGTTAAAGAATCTATTAAGTACATAAAAAGTACCAGCAACTTTCTCCATTCTATTACAGACTATTTAACCCAAAATGGTTGACTTTCCCTGAATCTGTCATTCTCCCTGAAAATATGTTTAACTTGGGCATTCTGTCTCCTTCACATATATATTGCCTATGGTGCTCTAATGTAACTGCAGCAATCTTTAATAAAATGGCATTCTTGCCACATGACAAATGCATTTGCAGCTGTGCAGCAGACAGAACTGAAATCTGAAAAATCAACTATTCAGTGTTAGGTGTTAGCAAAATCTGGATCAAATTGTGATGATCATTCTATATTCTATATCATTCAATTCCAGCGGGTGTGTGATCTTTAATCGAGTGTCCTTTTAACAGAAAATGTCCTCTTTTCCATTTCAAATTATCATTTAGGATAGGCTCCTAGACTTCTCCAAGGAGGTCTCCTACACTGCTACAGTCTACATGTGCTAATCATCTTTTAAACACTGAACCTGGCTGGATGCCACACACCCACAAAAGTCACTCTATCACTCCCTTCACCAGCTGGGCAGGAGAGAGAAAACACAATAAAAGGCTTGTGGGCTGAGATGAGAACACAGAGAGACATCAATGATCACTGTCACAGGCAGAAGAGACTTGGAGAAATTAGTTTATTATCAATCAAATCACAGTAGGATAAAGACAAAGAAAACCTAAATCTTAAAAATTCCTTTGTCCCACCCTTCCCTTCTTCCCAAGGCTTAACTTCACTCTCGGTTTTCTCTTCCTCACTTCCCCTCAGTGGTTCAGGGAGATGGAGAATGGGGTTTGTGGTCATTTTATTGAACATTCTTTCCTCCTTACTCATCATCAGTGATGGTCTCAGACGTGGCCAGAGGGTCCATCCTGGACCTGGCTGGCTTTGGCTCAGCTGGACACAGGGGAAACTTCCAGCACGTTCTCCCTGTCTCACCCCCCACTGCCCAAACCTGGCCATGCCAACCCCATACAAACAGAGTTTACTTCATCTGCTCTTATGGAGCAGCTTTTATTCTGCCAGTGAAAAACCAGCCCACAAGAGCAGCAAATGAATGGCACAGAAAATGTGGCTCCTGGTGCAGCTGGGCTGGGTGATTAATACAAAACAGAACACAAGTCACTAACGTTTTTCAGACTCATATGAGTCTGAAAATTCCTAAGAAATTGAAGGCCAGATAATGAATAAGGCGTTTGTTTTGTTTTTTTTTCCACACAGTTCTTTTCACCTTTGAGATCTGCATCAGAGCAGCTGCATTTTCTTCACTGGCTTCCCTCACTTTGCAACTCCAGCTTCCTAAGTCGGTCCTCAAACTTCTGAATGTCAACTCGATGCTTCATCAGGAACTTCCCATTTAAGTGAAAAACAGGTATGTCATATTTGTATTTATCATACCACGCTGAGTTCTCTGGAAGGGTAATATCCACCTCCTGCAGAATAAACTGTGACAGAAAAGAAATATGTCAATTGCTACTGGACACTGGAAAACACCACCTGCTTATCTTCTGATCAGTGTTTTCCTCAGAAATGCAAGGCTGTTTTCTTGAAGCTTGTGGGTTTGTTCTTTGTTCAGGGCCTGGTATTTTGAGTACAAAATACATGTAGCCACAACACTTGGCTGCCTCTCCACAAGGGACTCTCTCCCTAGCCCAGAATATTCTTGTTCCACTGTGCAGAACCACTCTCCTGTGGGCAGCAACCTCAACAAACACACAGCTGGGAACAAAACAGGCATCAGAGTGCAACAGCTCTTAATGCTTCCATTAAAAGTTTCGTCCTTCAACAGAGAGATCAAAACCTGGTTGAAGAATGGCAAAAATTCAGTCACATGTAGTTCAAATATTCAAAGCTTCACTTAGTCACATCCTTCCCAAAGTATATCATTACCTGCATTATACAAGTTTCAAACTCCTCCTTCAGACAAGGTAACATCATTTAGAAAAGGAGTGTTTTCAAGAACTACTGCAACATGGTGTATATTGGTTTAGTTTGGCAATACTTATTTGCGTAGCATTGTCACAAAATGCTTTTGTATAATGAGTTTTATGTAAATCAGTGCTGAAATTGTCTTGAAGAGGTCATCCATGAAAGAATAACATATGCAAATAAATCCAAGCAATTCTCTTTTTACAAAGAAAGAATCCTGATTAACTGTCCTTCCCAAATGGAAAGCATATACTGTATTTCCATACATTACCCTTCTCTTGTATGGCTCAAGAACTTCTTTTGCTTCATCACACAGAGGGCACGGTTTCTAAATGAAAACATATAAACAGTAAACACAAAAGTTGTTTGTATTGTAAAATAACACACACAGACAGGAGCATTCACTACTTCAAATGCAGGTTCCCTTCCCTGCACCAAACCCTGTTGTAGGGCTTTCTAAAACTTTACTTATCAGTGCAGTATGGATGAAAGAAACAAAACAAACTATTCAGCCACTGAATTTAATTATTTTATGTTTGTTATTCCATTTCTCATAGAGGAAATTAACAGTCTTCTGAAAGCTGATCCAAGGGAATGACCTGAAAGGTCCTGCAGAGACGCCTCGTTTTAGTCAGCAATGAATATTCAAAGCACTGCCATCACCAAATGAAGATTGCTGCAGGTGCCATTCCTGCTAAAAGAGGAATGAGAAAGCCACACAAGTGACTTCCAGCCTCTCTCAGATCAAGACACATGGCCCAGTTCAAATGGGAAAAGAAGGCTGTTTAAGATAACCTGGGTGGCTTTTCCTGGAAGAAATCAAGCAGGATCCTCCAAACTCCAGAGCTGGAAGGAGAATAAGCTCCAGTGGGGAGAACTGGCAAACATCTGCAGTATTTTGACCTGTGGTGGGGTCAAAAAAATCCTCACATTTTTGAAAACTCCCTCATCTTCCACTACAGCTGAACATCTGAGTCCTGCTGACCAGCTAGTAACTGAAGAAGTAACTCTGATGAAGTTGCTCATAACTGCATAGCCTCTCATGTTGCTCCAATGTTTGCAACAGCAGAATTTGGACAATAATTCACATGGCAAAGTGTAGGGAGGTGAACATGATTGCTTTATCCCTCTGCCCCAAAATATCTTCCACAACTGGAAAAGATCGTCTTTTTTCTCCCACTGAAAGTCTTCCTAGGGCTTGTTTAAATGTGAAGTTCATCCGAAACAGCTACTTTTTATTTCCAGCATGTGAATTTCTTCAGAATAAACACTCTACTTCTATTTAGATCTAATCTAAACTACCTTTCCCACATGGACAAGTCCTTGTGCTCTGAAAACTTAAGCAGGACACTGAAGTGCTGTGTTCTTCACAGTCCTGGCTGCTTTTGCAGGGACTGGTTTAACAGATACTGGTGACTGAAAGGAATGACCCAGAATCCTGCACACCCCTTTTGTAACACACCAGGACCCTTCCAGTTAAAACAGGACACACTTGGATCATCTAGACCTGTGGAGAGCTTCCTAACACATCAGGCACACAAATGCATTTGGCAAAGGAGGCTAACTTTTAGGAAAAAAATATGGTTTTACTCTCATGGCAAGCTTAGGCACTAGGTGGTACTGGTTTAAAATCAAAAGTGAATTATTTTAACAAGCAGTGAAATATTTTTCAAAAGTAGATTTATAAAAGCAATTGCTGCACAAATGCTGGGGTGGTCAGAAACGGGGTCTGCAAAGGGAAACCCATTTGGTTGTTTCTATCAGTTTGATCTAGAAGTCATAACTCCCTTCTGCTTTCTCCTCCTCTTTTCTCCTTACTAAAAATAAGGAGGCAAACAAGGGGTCACTTAGCCTAAGCTAATAGTGTAGATTAATTTTTTTATAGCCTGAGCTTTTCTTTGCAATTGCCAGTGAACATTTAAAGTTAACAGCAAGCATCTAGAGTTAAAAACACCTTCAACAAAAGGCCATTTCAGAGCTGCTACTAGAAAATTTGATTTCACACAGTGCCTTACTAGTTAGGCATTTTAAGACACAAAGAGCTTTTTTATTCCAATTATTAACCTAAAAGTAAGAACATTACCTTACCTGATTTGAATTATGAATGGGCTGAGGCTGAACTGGGCAGGGGAGAGAAAGCTGCAACTTTATAGTTCTGATTATTAAATGGATGCTGACCTATTATTTTTAACCTATTCATTTGTCACACACTTTAAAATCTCCTGTATGGTTACTGATGGAATAAACAGGCATTGTGCAGGAGGAGGATATTGTTTTAATCATATTTGAAACCACCACACTGATGCCAGCACTCTCAGTGCTTTGCATTTGTAGTTATTCTCCTCTTGAAAGCTGCAACAGCCACATAAATTCAGCAAAACCCCAAACCCTGTGCCATCCTTTATAAAACTGCAGAACTATGCAGGTAATAATTGAAAACAATCCATGGAATGAATGTGTCAGTCCACAAATGACCCTTCCTGCTCATCCTTATCTCTTTTCTAACTATGCTTAGGAATGCTACACACATTTTATCTGTTGCCAATAAAGCAAAAGGAGGGTAAAACAAAATCTACTTTTCCCTCACGTGCTCCACTGTTTGGATGAATTTTACAATCTCACAGGTGGTGCTGAAATTAAACATGAGCACTTTGAAGTGCCTGCTTGACTGCTGATGCTCGTGGTTGGCAGACTGTGTATAAAAATTCATCTCTGTTCTCCATTTTCAGGGTGAAACACTGGCAGCTGGGCCAAATCTTTAACTAGTAAATGAACCATAGAGCCACTGAGGCAAAACTGCCCTGAAATATTTGTTGATTGCTAATTCTTGCTTGCTACAATGAGAGCAGGACTGTGCTGCAAAGCCTGGTGTGCAGAAACCCATTAAGCAAAACACCCAATACCTTGAAGGGAGGGGGGAAAAAAGGGCAAAGACAAGCCATTTAATCTGTGATTCCTGTCTATCAGAGCTGATAAACACACGGTCTTGCCCAGCTTTATGGTGTTAACAGCTCTTACCTTGGTGAATAAAGTCAACACTGGCTTATTTGTGCTGGCTGAGCAGAGCTGTCTCCCCAGTGGGCTGGGTGAACGCCTCACTCGTGGCAGGGCTCTGCCCAGAAAAGAGAGCACCATCCTCCTGTTTCAGGCAGAAACAAAACTCCTTAGTTGCTCTGTGCCAAGTTACAGCTCATGAAATTTAATGACAGGATAAACGCGGCGCTTCCGTGGCGGCTCCAAACCACCAACAATCAAAACTTTCATCCCAGGGTTTTTATGCTCACGGGATTAACACATTCATCAGGGAGCTGGTTTACTGTGCAGCAGGCCAGAAACATTGCACAGCTCAAAACCAGCAGTTCCATTAAAAAAAAGAAAAACGAACAACAGAACACCTACGTTTTCTTGCTGAAATGCCTCTTTTAAATTCCCTAACACAAATGCTGACATAAATGCATTATGCTGTTCCAGCTCCACAGATGCCAGCTGGAATTACATATTTAAAAATGCAAAGTGCCGTGCTTTGAACCTCTGTAATCTTGCTGCAGTGTTTGACATAGTCTACTTACCCGAATTATTCCATCAAAAAACTAATCTGTACCTAATCAGAATATTAATATAATGCGTTCTGGAGTGAATAAAAAGCTGCAGCCAAGATGATTTAACTTAGGAATATTAAAAGTATTCACACTGCCCCAAGTACTTCCTGCAACAGCAAATTGATTGATGGGCTTGTGATTCCTTTGAGAGAGTTTGAATAAATTAAGTGTTGTTGAAGGGTGCCATGTTGGAGTCTTGAAGTCACCTGTTCACAATGTCATTAATAACAACACTGCTTTCTCTAAACGTTTGTCTTAATCTTAACCTTTACAAGGCATTTTAGGACTGAGGGGCAAAAAAATCTCAGAAGCCAAAGGGAGTCTGCATGACGATTATCAGCAGACATGACATCTGGTATCAGAATTTACACTGGGAAAAACAAATCAAATCCCTTTTACCCAAAGCCAAACTGCTTCTGCTCAGTTTCAGGCCTGGCTTACTGCACCTCTATTATCTGAAGTTAAACACACAACATGATGTCACAATTTTAAACAGCTTAAGAGTGAGCAGGATCCCATTGCAACTCTCAAGCACAGTTTAGGATGTTCAGTAAAAGAGAGCCCAGTGCTTTTTTGCTTCACTGGATCTCTCAGTACTAATATCACAAAGATTTTTTTTTTTTTAAGAGGACAGTTTATCCAGAATAACCACTAAGGAAGAACACTGCAGTGGACTCTAAATTTTAATGCTCCATTTTAAGCCACAACCACAAGAAAAATCGAATGGGTGACAGGACACTGCTCCACCAATCTTCATGCATAACAGAAAGACAGCAGCTATTAATAAGAGTCAGCTGCAAGGGGCAGAGCAGTAAAAGTGACTGGCACAGCACACACTGCCAAAGGTCACAGTCCTTGGCAGCTACTGCATTTGTTTCACTTTCCAGGTGGAAACAGAACTGCCTGGGATTTTGCAGATTAAATGTAAGAACAAGCTTGGAACCTCTTGGAAAAAATGCAGATTTGGATGACAGGAAGAGCCTCAGTCAGACGTAGAAAATTTCTGAAGCTACAATAAATAGAAGTCCAGAACGGATGCAGTTTTGGCACGAAGTATTTACAGAATTCTGGCCTGTTCACATATAAGGTAAAAAATAAGGGGGGGAGTTGGGGGAGGTCTGCTTTCTGACAAGTTTCTTAAGAATGCTTTTGTTGCCAGCCCAGCAAGCCTTCCAAACGAGGTAGATGCTCTCAAATTGTTCTTTGGATAGCACAATGATTAAAGCCCAGATTTCCACAGATCTCATTCTCCCTTCCATAGACATATGTGCATAAAACAGCTCCAGTTCAGTTCTGTTTAGCCCCTTTTTAATCCCTCCATGCTCTGTTGTCCTGAAGACAATTCCTACCAAATCATCAGCTGAAGGGGAATGAATGAAACAATATCAACTTTGAGACCTCACAAAAAATAATCAACCAGCAGTGCCTTAACTTCCTTACCAATTTTATATGATTACAGGCAATTCTACCTTCAGAATCCAGCAATAAATCTTCACTGACCAGTGCTGCTATTGAAGAAAGAATCTGCTGTTTCCAGAGCTAGCATGAGACTGGCTGGATGTGTTTATAAATAACCAAAAGAAAACAAAATCCTGTCTATTTATTCACCTAAGTAAAATAATACCAAAGACATTAAAATGCACAAAACTTCCCATATAATTATTCTGGAAGTCTCTCTAGATGATCCCCAATTATAAAGATTTGCTCGAGGGAAAAAAAAAGAATACATAAATGCAGAGAAGAATGTTTGCAAACTTGAGAATTTACCCTCTCCTACACCACAATGCTACAGATTTAACAAATTATTCTTTTGAGTCTGGATTTGGCCCATGCTCTATTTTGCAAAGCCAAGTTGAACTCAATTCCTGTTAATGGAATTTCCATCACCCAATAAATCCTCATCTACAGGAAAACTAAGTTGTGACACTAAAACCACACATTATTTAGATGAGATAACTATCTGTATAAACTTAATCTCAGCATCAATGAAGGAAAGACAAGCATGGATGGTTTTTCTCTTGAAGGATTTACCTTTTAAGTAACAGCTGAAAGGGAATGGGGGGAGCAAGTAAGTGCAAGTATCAGAATGCATGCTGATGGCATTTAAAACACCTATCTCCTCTTGTCCATCATTCAAAACCATCAAAATTCATCAAGGAACTGAAATTTTCTGGCAGTCTGCATTTGGTTACCTACCAAGGAAATGCTGAACAGGAAAATGGGTGTCACAGCCACAGACCGAGGAACCCAGGTGTGGGGACAGCAAATCCTGCAGCTGTGGAGATCCCCACAAAGCTTCTACCCCACCTGACGTTCAGAGGAGGCCTGAAAAACACAGGGAAATCTTTTTGCACATGCACATAACTCCAGAAGTCTTTCAGGGAGAATCAGGTTCTTGCAACAACTCAAAATTCAAAGATACTGAATTCAATACCAGCAATTCCAGCTGTATCTGTGGGGTGATGTTAGGCATCCATCAGTGCATGTTTCCTTGCATTTTCTCCTCCAAAGTAACATGGGGAAAATGCCACAAACACACTGACTTCCTTCCCAGACAGGATGGAAGATCACCCCCGTGAGTGACACATTTTGTTCAATAATTCCTCCCAGAGTGTGCATCCTAGAATCTGGTCCAGGGCCACACTCCAAATTTCAGATAATTTAAATAACATCCAACAGCTTGCTGTAATGCTGTTCTGAATATTATACAGAACTTGCACAAAACGACAGACTGCTACCATTATGTAAAGTTTGTAATGGATTTAAAAAAATAATAGTAATAATAGCATAATAGAGTATAATATATGCGTCATATATATTATAGAACACAACATATAATATTTTATATATACCATGTATCTCACAAAATTATATTAATATCTTAGACGGTACACATCCTATAACATTATAATATTTAAAAATATATCAATAATATTAAAATATTAGGATATGGCTGACATTAATACATATTAATATTTATTGAGATGCAACAGAAGGCGATATTAATGTATCATTAATATGTACTAATGTATTAAAGTATTGCTCTTGTCTATTGCATTGATAATTATAGTAATGATACTGAATATTATGTCATATATATTACGTATATAATTATACTGTATATTAATGATGTATATAATGATACTGCACATTATGTGATATGTATATATTTTATGTATATGTACAGCTTATATGTTTTAAATACATATATATACATATATAAATACACATCTATATATATACTTATACATACACGTACACATATACACATATAATACAGATTATATATACATACCATGTCTACATTATACATATAGATATATACATCTATATATTATACATTATATACACACACATATAAGCATACATATATATGCACATAGACATACACATATCTAGATATCCATAGATATATGGATTTTATATAAAATGGCAATAATATGGATTATATATATGTATGCATATAATAAGATATGCATATATGTAATATATGCAATATATAATAATATAGACCTATATATGTAATATATAATAATATACACATACATATTTATATATAATATGCATATAATAATATATTTGTACACGATATATATTTGTACCCATGTATATGAAAAAGAAATATGAAAATACTATATATGTACAAAATATACATGAATAAATAAATAAATAATATATAAAGTAGATATGAAATACAATATCTATTATTAATTATATATAAAAAATATATTGTCTACAGATATATACACATAGTTTTATATGTATATATATATATATACATATATACATATATATACATATATATACACACATACACATATAGATACACACATACACATATAGATATACACATACATATATATATATATATATACACATATACACATATAGATACACACATACACATATAGATATACACATACACATATATATATATACATATATATACACATATACACATATGTATCTATATCTGTATATATCTATGTCTATATCCATACCTATATCTATATAGCTATATCTGTATCTCTATATATCTATATCTATATTTATATCTAATACAATAAATATAGCATAATAAGAGTTTTAAACATCTCTATTTGGAAACTTTTGACCCAGATCGCCCGAAGCCCGGCCGGCGAGCCCAGCAGGGTACAGTGTATCCAGAGGCCTCCTCATTATCCCCCGCAACGAGCCCGCCCTCCCGGCGATGCCGATCCTTGCAAACCTGTAACCGGACCCTCCGCAGGGACAGGGAGCCGCATCCCACGGGAGCCGCATCCCTGGGGTGTGGGGGTTTGGAGGGGCTGCATCCCGAGGAGCCAACCCCCGAAGATCCAAACTCCGAGGAGCCGAATCCCGAGGAGCCAAAGCGCCGAGGAGCCGCAGCCGCTCCGTGCCCGGTGCCGCACTCACCTGCGGGAGCTCCGCCGGAACGCGCGGCCCGCGGGCGGGGCCGCACCGGCTGTGACGTGACACGGCCACGGGAAGGAAGCGACACGGGCTCGGGAAGCGCTCCCGGCTGGCCAAAGGGGCGGCCGAGGTCCGCCAGAGAAAGTAAAATGCTGGTAGTAATAGTAATAGCAGTAATAGTAATGGAATAGCAGTAATAGTAATAGCAATAATAGTAACAGTAATGTTATAAATGAGAGGCAAATGTCTCGGTATTCAGCAAAATTTAGATTGCTTTATTTGATATAGAAAGAGCGAGCAGCGCACTGGGGAACGTGAGGGGTCACCGCCCACTCCACGCTCCACCAAACCTTGGTTTGCAGCCTCTTCTTATACTGTGGCCTCTCATTGTAATCCATAATTTTTGGTATTTTGTTGTCATAAGCAGTGGTGGTTGAATAAACATCCTTACACAAATTCACAAAGCCTTCGGGTGATAATCAGTCACAGATAGCCATCTGGTCCTTGTAGATAACCACCAGAGAAGTTCTGGAAGACTCATCCTTGAGATAAGCAGTATTGATCAGACAAAGGCAGGAAGGGCTATTGGGAAATCTGATTGTGCAAGCTGGTAGCCGATACAACTTATTTGGGAAACAGAACATAATATAACATAATATAATGTAACATAATACTACATAATATAACATAACAAGGTGATTTTAAGCAATGATTTTATCATATAATTTCCTTTATCTAGTGTCCATGCTTCACTTCAGAGCTTAGTATTCTGGTTTATACAAACCCCAATGCTTTTGTGATTAACACGAATCTTTTATCAATTATCACAGTAATAATAGTAATAGCAACAATCGTAATGTAATAGTAGTAATAGCGATAGTAATTATAATATCATAAGGTTTTGTTTGTGAGTTGCAGGCTCGCCATGGAAATGCAGTGTGTTAGTCTCTGAGCTATTGGTAGGAGTGCATGGAGGTGGGGTTTGGATTAAAGGGGTAGGTGTGAAAAAGAAGGGGAATTAAAGACAGGAAAAAGTGGGGTGGAGAGGGAAAGAATGGAAAGGAAAAGGGAAAGAAGGGAAAGGGGGAGTCAGTCCACATGATGAGATGCCCAGGGTCCTGGGGGCTTCAAGGGTCATCCATGGTCTCAACCCCTCTACAAACCAACTTTTAGCCATCACTTCATACCCACTCCTGTGCTGATGCTGCCTTTTATTTGTTGTGTCCTAGAGCAAGGATGTTTGTCCCAGAAAGCCCCTTTTCCAGCCACATCTTGCTTTTCCTCAGTGTGTTGGCAACAACAACCCTTGGGTTGGCTCCACAGCCATCAGGTTCCCCATGGCCAGCACCAGCACTGCTCCAGTTCTGCCACCCGAGCACAATCCTGGCTGGCAGCTCCTCCACTTCCCACACTCCATGCCCTCTGTTATCTACCAGACAGTGGGCAGCAGCCTCAAAATCTTCTTCTCCATCCTCCTGCAACATGGATTTTGGGCATTCACTCAGGTGGGTATACTATATAATGGAAAAAATCCACATTATTGGAGAGTGTCATTAGAGCACAAATGGTCACAACAACGAAAGCACACAGGGAAAGAGCTGGGCCTGTCTGGAAGTGACTGAGATGGGATGTCATTAGTGCATATAAATATTCTCCAAGGCAGGTACTAAGAGGATGCTCTTGATGCTCCCTTTGACTACTCTGAGGTGTCTCAGTTGTCAGGTTCATTTTCCTTTCTCCAGAAAAGTTTTAAGTAAAAAATAGCAAGTATTCACTGGCTGGGCAACTAAAACTGCAGGCTCATGTTTACATACAGCAGCTATATTTCTGTCAGGATTTTGGTTTTGCCATAGTAGCTGCCCTAGGCTGAGAGTGGAGACAAATCTTTTGGGTAGAGGCTCAAGTCAGCTTCCTCTCTTCATCTGTGCTTTGGGAAGCACAACAGCACATGGGGGAAAGGCTCTCCAGGGGTGTAATCCTACCCTGCTGATGTGACACGTGTAATTAACCAGCATTTAAATTAACATTAGGGGGAGTCAGCTCAGGATCCTGGTGACTGGTTTTCGGCCACTGTCTTAATCCCTGCTGTTGAAAAGAGATGTAATGCTGGCAGCTGACGCTGGCTGTTCTTTTTTTTTTTTTTTTTTTTTTTTTTTTCCCAGCGTAAGAAAATCCAGTGTCAGGCTTAGGTGTTTGGTGGTGGTACAGGAGAGACCTGAAAGTCTCATACAAGGGAATTTCTGAGCTGGCTCTCGCCTGGCTTTTACCTTCTCAGAAAAGGTGGAAGGACATTCAGAGAGAGGGCAGAGACAGGTTTAAATAAAGAGATCAGCATGCTCTTCACATGTCAGGTCTCGGATTAATTTTATCCCTCTCGCTCCCAAAGCAAGTCCAGCCTTCTCTGGGACATGTCTCAAGAATTCCCAGAGGAACGTGGAGGAGAGAGCTCCCAAAACTGGTCCGTTTATTTAAACAAAATTGCTGCTGAAGGCCAGAAGTGATCTGGCTGTGTTCCTTTCCTGGTTTCAGTAGGATTGTCACGTTGCCTAACACAGTTCAATTAACCAAAACCACTGACTGGTCCTGCCAAGTCAGAATTTTCTTGCACTGCCAGATGTGTTTATTATTGTGCACCCAGGTGTGGACTGGTTTCACCCTCACATCAGGTTGTTTATAATACGGTGTAAGTACGTTTAAAAAAAAAGAGTTGAAAATAGATGGAAAAAAGAGAAAAAAGAAAAAAAAATGTTTTCTTATGCTACAAACATCTGCTTTGAAATTAACCAGTTTTGTTTTTGCAGATTTTTGATACTCCACTGTAGCTACCTCAGCACAAAATTAGCTTTGGTTTTAATCCAGTATTTATGAGATGAATCTTCTTAATGTTCATAGTGACAGATGCGGAAAGAATTACTACTTAGAGCATGTCTCACTATCACTGTGCTTACGAATGAGATGGATTGCTGAAAAGTTTGATATTTAAAAATGTGTTCTGAGATCTGAAAGAAGTGCAACTCCATGCTATTTTTCATTATGGAACACAGGACGTCTTTAAATTTCAAGGGCAGGTATGACTCAATGATTAAATTTGCTGCATAGGTACCACGCTATGATGCACAAGTCTTCCTTTTTTTTTTTTTTTTTTCTCTATAAATATATCTCTTAAATAAAGAGTTGACATAGTTTCACAATCCAAACTAAAAAGAACTCATGCTCTGATGGATTACATTCAACTTGGTTCTCCTCCAGATTTCTGTTTTATTTCTCTTACGTTATTTTGACTTAGAATCACAGAATCACAGACTGGTTTGGGTTTGGAGGGACCCCAAAGCCCATCCAGTGCCACCCCTGCCATGGCAGGGACTCCTTGCACTGTCCCAGGCTGCTCCCAGCCCCAATGTCCAACCTGGCCTTGGACACTGCCAGGGATCCAGGGGCAGCCACAGCTGCTCTGGGCACCCTGTGGCTGCCCTGCCCAGCCTCACAGGGGAAGATTTGCTCCTAATAACTGGGTTAAATCCACCCTTTTTCAGCTTAAAGCCATTCCACGCCTCAAATCATGGGGTCATTTTGAGCACCTCACTCCAAGAAGGACATTGAGGGGCTGGAGCGTGTCCAGAGAAGGGAACGGAGCTGGGGAAGGGTCTGGAGCCCCAGGAGGGGCTGAGGGAGCTGGAAAGGGGCTCAGCCTGGAGAAAAGGAGGCTCAGGGGGGACCTTGGGGCTCTGCACAACTCCCTGACAGGAGGGGACAGCCGGGGGGGATTTGGGATCTGCTCCAGGGAACAGGGACGGGAGGAGAGGGAATGGATTCAGGGGAAACTTTAGGATATTTGGTTTAAAAAACTCTTCACTGAAAGGATTATCAAGCATTGGAACAGGCTGCCTGGGGGAAGGAATCATTTTGTACTGGTGAAAAGTGAAATTCTTAACACTCAAAGTAACTTGAGTACAGAAAAGGTGAAAAATCGAAAAAATAATCACAGCATCACATATTCAGCAGCTTCAATAAGGAGTGGAGGCACACCAGAAAAATGTATTAGAGAATTTGATTCTAATATGAGAGAGCCTGTCTCCTGAAGAGAACTTTTCCAAAGCATGGGAATTGATTCCTTGTGGATTTACTGTTCTTTTCTTAAACAAGAACCTAAAGTTGTTAAAAAACATCTTCATTTGCTGCTAGGCCTTTACCTGGGTTGTTTTTCTGGCCAGAATGGGATCTAGCACAAGGTGATGTTACTATGATTTTTTTTCCACAGATGAGGACTCTGACTTTCTATGTAAAACCTTGCTTTACCAAAAACACAAGCCAGAAATTGCGGTATAAATTGTCCTCACTTAAACATCTCAAGAACTCGGTTTGACAGCAGTAAAAATCGATTTTGGTGTGTTGTGTGGATCACTGAATGGGACCAATCTCAAACCCTATTCACAGCTAAGCTTCTAATAATTAATGTTTTTTTTTTTCAGCCTGCACAGAGACACATGATGGGCTAAAACTCCTGCCTAGGCTGTTGCTGTAATTATGATCCCACAGCAGAAAAGTTGTATGGGGACAATGATACAACTGCTCTGAGATCTCCATAAAATAAACAGGCAAAAAGAATGGCAGCTTTATTGCAGCAGCATTTCCAATTAAAGCAATCCTGTTGTAACTTGTGCATAGGTGCTATAAAATATGAACTCTTCATTTTATCCCTAATCAATGCAGCTGTATCATCCCACTCACCCCCTCTGCTCTTTCAGTTTGATTTAATTTCAGAGTATTTAATTCAGTACTTCCCTGGAGATTCAACACTTTCCTGGGGAGATTACACTGGAGTTCCCACCATCTAAATAACCAGCGTGCAGCCATTTTATTCATTCTACCCAAAAGCCAATTTTTAATCCAGAAGTAACATTTAACAAGACTGTGCAGCTTTCAGTAGGCATAAAGGAGAAAGAATTTATTGTTTTTGAATGACTACTTTATCTCCTGATCAGCTCTCTGTGCAGGTGTGTGGCTTACTGGGTTGAAAATAGCAAAGGAAGGAGGATTCCTTAATATTCACCTTTTTCTCAGCGCTTTCTCTGTCAGTGAATGAACCCTCAAAGACAGGTTTTAAGGTAAAAATTCTTTATTCTAGACATCTCTACAGTTCAATTGAAAATGTAGCTAGTTAAGCACCTTTTTTTTCTTCTTCTAGTTTCCTTTTTTCCTCCTGTTTGTTTAGTTTTCAGTTCTGCAGAACTAAGACATCATTTACCTCCCTCTGGGTTCTCCCTTGCCATCTTTTTTATTCTGTCACTGTGGAAAATCACCACAGTGTGTCTTGTCAGGCTGATAACTAGGCAAACTATTAAACTCATCTCTCACTGGTTTCTTCTCTGGTCTACTTAGATCCAGTCATACAGCATCTCTAAAACATTTTTTTATGTTACTTACTATTTATAAATTAATTTGTTTATTGACTATTTACTTATACATTTAAGATTATTATCTTCAATGCTTCAGCTCATTAGAAATACTTTCTGCTGCTTTCTATTTGTGTTGGAGACAGCTATTTTCAGTATTTCAGAAACTAACAGGACATGAAACAGGTAGTCAGTTGGTGCCTTTACTGTTTACTCTATATATTAATCTGATTTTCTGTGGTTTTCTTCTAGTTCCACTGTAGTTTCCTATTCAAGAAAAGAAAAAGGACCCTGCTGTCTGGCAGCCTGTAGCTTCAAGAAAAGTTCTTGTTCATGAAGCATATCTGGAACGTGACTTCATGCTGCCCAGGCATCTAAATACTACAGTAGATATTCAACAAAACTGATTTTTGAGAACACCTGAAGAGGCTTTTTTTGCAGTTACATTTCAACGTTTTGTGTCAGTATTGTGATTCATGTACCTTTTTGTTGCTGTTGTTTTTGGTTTTTTGGTGAAAGACATTGAGACACTTGTTCGGAACAAGGTTAAAAGATAGTTAACTTGGCAAGAATAATTAGTGAACTCTGAGTTAGTAATACCATGCAAAGGATGAGCTAACTTTCATTTGAGCAGTATAAGTAGGAAGTTTTAGAAAAAAATTCAGAACTCATATTTGTCTTCAGTGGGGCTGTGTAGACAGGAATTTGGTGAGTCAGCCTATGTGGAAAAGGAGCTCCATTACGGCTTCCTTTAAAGCAATTATTTTCTTTCCCTGATTTATGTGATTAATTAGTATCGCAGACATGCTGCAAAACTTATTCCTTAGGGTGTAATCTTGGGCAAAAGGTGAACAACTATAGTCCTACTTCTAACAGTCTTCTTGTTAATTAATAGAAAACTACTATTTCGAGAAAACTGTTAAGAGTTCATGCTGCTTTACAGATTTTTAATTCAGAGTTGGGTGCTAAGAGAAGTGCATAAGCACTTGGTCAATACAATATTACTGACCAAATCAATGAAATAAATGAGGTAACAAATCTGGATTGATGTCGATGATGATGAAGTGCAGTGTTAGTAATTTTGTTGTAGTAATTTGTTTCTTTTAACTGAAGAACAAAATTAAACTGACATGTCTGAGAAACAGTATTTGGGGGTCTCTTTAAAAGTTGTTCCTTGTATTTCAAGGAAATCCATTTCAATGCTGTGATGTCCCTTTGGTTTAAGTGGCATCTTGTCAGGAGGCAAAATTGAGGCTCAAAAATTGTGTGTAATTATCTGTTCAAGGACTTCCAACTTGTCAGAACAGAACAATAACCACAATTAAAAGTTTATATACAGTGCGGTCTAATTCTTTTAAAATGTGCCTAGGATTCTTCAGCCAGACAGTATAAATCCATCAAGGAATCACGTTTGCAAGTGTAATGTGCAATTTTAATTAGCAGATCTTCAGTCTAATGAGCTGCCAAATATTCCTTGCATTTGAGTTTTCATATAACCATGTAAAGTTTTAAGTACCTTTAAGCTTACATTTAATCATAACCATGGTGTGCTAGCATGGGTACAGAATCACTTCAGGCTTGCAGACATTTTCTTCAGTCGCAAATTAATATTGTCTGAAAAATTCGTCAATTAAATAATTTAACATGTTTGTCACTGTCTTTGCATCTCTGATTACTTTCAGTGGCTGAAATGATGTGCCCATAGCATCTATACTGGGCTGTTATTGCTACATTCATTATTTTTAGTAGTATGGCTCTAACATTTGCCTAATAGTTTTGGAGGGGTGGGGAATTTTGTAGAGTTTTATGGATTTATCGAAACACTAGAAACACTGTATGTTACTGAACACAAATAAATAAAATATGTCTTAAAGATATTTATGTTTAATTGTGCAGACAGGTGAGACGTTTATAAAGAAGATATTTATATATTTAAAGAAGAATAAGTACATAAGTAAAATAATTTTATCTGTTTATGCTTCAATTTTTATTCTAGTGTTTGCCACCCCGTAAGTTTTAAATCCCAAATACCACACAGGTGGTTCTGGTATATTTTAGCCGAGCTAATCCCACTCCCTTGTACTCCATGACTTCTTCCTAGCAGCTGTTTTGGAGGTAAATATGGCAGTGTTCGACCCATAATAAAGTTGCTTGAAAGGTAATTTTTTTTTAGCCTAATTGCAATGAGGGAGGTGCTGAGGCCTGGTCTCCATTCCTATTTTAGAACCCCAGAAAAAGGTATGGGAGGGAGTTCTCTTAGGCGACAACTAAGATGAGAAGTGTAAACAACAGAAAATAAATCCAAAAATTTTAGGTACTGCAGTGAGCTGAGGCAGCACAATCTTCTATTTGTTATGTTTTTTACAGCAGGTTATGGAAAAGTAATTACATTCTCCTCAGCAAGGTAGCTATTAAAAATCAGGAGAATCTGCTATTCTTGAAAATTATCACTGCAAGGTTTCACAAAATCAGTATAAAGATGAGGAAGCACTTCATGACTTCAGGGTTACTACCAGAAGCAATACTACAATTTCCCTAAAAAGGTACTTGCAGCTTTGGTCATAAAGCAACTGAATAAATAATTTATATTGACCAAGGAAAGCTAATCTCTGCCAAGGCCATTCCAATACCGATTTACTAATTCAATACAAATGTACTCATTCAATCCAGACCAGCTTTTCTTGAAGCAATGCTGCAAAGAGCCATTTACTACTTAACCTCATCTTTGTCCCACGTACAGGAGGACAAAGCTGCCAGAAGGTGTGGAGACCTTAAAAGGCACCCCCAATTAGAGAAATAGGAGAAGCCTCTCAGCAGTTATCTCCTTTTGATAACAAATCCTGTTCTACCAGGTCAAGACACGCCCTGTTCTGTTCCTTGGGAGAGCCCCCTGCCCTCTCTCTGTCTCTCAGCCTTTTGGTCACTCCCAGCCCGGTTCCCTGTTGGTCTCTACACTCTAATCCCACCCTTGTAAAACCCCCGTGTACTTTACCCAAAGCCCCGGACCACTGCCTTTGCCTTTGTCTCTGAACGCTGGACTGTGCTCTCGCTGAAATAAACATCTCTGTGAAACCCTGGCAAAGGCCATTCCTGTTTCTTCACCTGTTTGACCCTACACCAAGAGCCCCGACCGCAACAAGAAGGCATTTGCAGCTCAGGAATGAGGCAGATTTTAAATTAAGAACTCTGTGCATAACACCAGAACAGGTGGAGCATCAAGATCTTGGGGGAATCAACTTCAAAATGTTAGGAGCCTGTCTAAATACAGCACACATTAATTAAACCGCAGACTAAAGCATCTGATCAGAATTTTGTGCGGTGGTAAGAATGGGAAAGGAAGAGTTTGTTCGGAGCTTGTCTGGCTCTGCCTCTGCGTTTTGCTCCCTTCTGTCGTTCTGTTCATGCTGAATTTCGCTCCTCATTTTAATCATTTCACTGATTGCAGAGAAGCAGCCGTACTGCAATTCCTCAAGTGGAGTCATCGGGATGTGAAACCATTCCTCAGCTCTTCCAAGGTGCCACCGCAACTTCTTCTCTTGTCCCAAATTGGTCGGGCAAGCAAAATGCAGGAAATGTTCGTTTTTTGGCAGAATAGCGGCACCCTGTGGCTCGTGATTGACTTTGCTTTGAAATATTTAAAACCCGACTGCCTCTGGCACATGCTGGTTATTATTATGACACGAGTTAGAAGTTATTTTAGTCCATGAAAGATACCAGATTTCTTTTGAGAGACCTAGATGCTCTGATTGTGAGGTAAGAGTTGGGGCAAAAATATGACTCCATCTTCAAAATGCTATTAAAAACGAGATTTTGTGTGTACTTATTTTCATTATTCACAGAATGCCACAAAGCCACCCCTGAGGTATTTACAGGCAATTACATGTCCAACAGTATGGAATAAAATTAGTCAAACTGACATGGACCTCAAGTAGTGCCTTGGGTAAGGCTTTGTGAACCCGATCCCCTGATGTTTAGAAACCTAACATGTATTATTTGACACCTGTCAGAAACAGTGAGGCAGTGACACAAAATAAGCCACTGTTTGCACTCTTATTCCTCTGTTGTTTAATTTATTCTTTGTTAGCCAACCCTAATATCATAACCCTTTGTTCCACAGCCTATGTGATGACATTTCTTTATTAATAAATCTCTGCAGAGGTTAGTGCTCTACTTGGAAAGAAGTGAAAATGTTGATGTGTTTCTCGTGTTTGCTGGCCATTAAATTTTCAGCACTCAGCAGGGCTCAGCAGAAGTCCCAGGTGATGGGTTTTGTTCCAGCAGTACAGATGTGTGCCTTGGCCATGCAATAAAAGCAACAATCAGCATTTCTAGAAGAGTAAATTATAACTAAAACACACAGAGAAGTATAAAGGATTTCTCCCGCGTTTTGGGTGGAATTTGGATTGTGTAGGTCAAAACAGGGATTTAGGAAGGTCATTCTGCCCAGAACCCAGACCATCCTGTGAATCTCTTCTATATGCAAGTTGTTAAATTTATATTAAGCTTATATATGTTTATTTCATATGCCCCATCGCGATTTTGCACCCGTATTTCAGGGTTTTGTCTCAGACACTGAAGCAGCAGCTGAACAGCCTCTGCTAGCTGACATTTTTTCCCAGATATATTTGAAATGAGAATCACAGTTCCAGAGCAGCAATTGCCCCTCCAGTTGGGGCTGGGGTAGAGGCAACACTACTAAGGCAAGAAATCCCAAAGCAACCTGACAACAAATAAAAGAAAACAAGAAGGAAGAGAGCAGAGAGAGTGATTGGTGGGTGTACAATTGCCTGAGTGAGAAGAAGAAGACCCTTTTATTTTGTTCTTCTTTTTTGACAGGTACCCATCAGATAATCCCCTCTATGCAGAAAAATGACAGCAAAACGGTAGAGATACCTGACTTGCTTTAAAATGACTGCACTGGATTTGCAGCAGGCAAGATACAACATTGCAGAGCTCAGTGAGTAATGTGCCCTAATGACAAGTCAATTGGCATATTTAAATACTCACAGCTGCTAAGTTGTTACCAGTATTTACCCACAGGTTTGTATTTTCAATAATCAATGATGCCAATGACGCCTTTCAGGTTTGAGCCTGTTGGATATTCTATCAGAGGCTTAGGAAGCAGCTCCATGGCAGGAAATTTACTGAAGAGATCCTGAAAAATAAATCTTTCTCCTGAATTTTCAAGAGGGGTTGTAAAAGAAAGACATGATTTTTAAATTAACATCAGGCCCCATAAGTTCATTTGCAACCATTTATCCACTTAGATTTTAATGCAGAACAGAAATAATGATTTTGACACATTAGAAGAAAGCATAACTGAAATCTGCTAGTATGACATTTCAGTAACTGTGCTCCATCCTGTCTGTAGATAGTGTTGGATGGATCATTAGCAGTTCAAAACTCTCTATATTTAGGTCCTCTGAACATACAACAAAAGTCTGAAAAGGGTGTAGAAGATTTTTAGGTCAAATCTGCTAGCATTTTATGTAAAAAGTATACAAAGGTGATAATGAAATAACAAAAAATACCCAAATATTCAAAATACATTACATAATATATATGTTTTCTGGCCTTTTTCAAAATTAAAAGTTGTATTTCATGCTAAAAGGTATTTTACCATTATCAAGCATGTAGTTTCCTGTGTTGTGCAACATATCAGGGGTAACTGGCAGACAGGCCGGCTAGGTTATTGCAAGAATTGCTGGAAACTTAAATGAAGATTCTTACACTGCCTAATATATATAGCTTTTTTCTCAGAAAAAGAAATAATGATAAACTGATTTATATATGTATAGATATATGATAGACATATATTTATATATATATATGTATAGATGTATGTATGTATTGATATTTATATTAATCTCATAGACCTAACAGCTGCTTTGTAACCATCAGATATTTAATGACAAGAAAACCCAATTTTAAATTTACTCTGATTTATATGTTCTCTCTGAAAATTTCCTCATCGGTAAGACTGAAGAAGTGTTGCTTTTTCTTCCTTCAATCTTTTTTCTTTTTTTTTTTTTTTTAAACATGTTACTCCATGGAAAAATACTGAGCTATGTAAAGTGCCACAACTTCACCAATTTGGTTGTAAAAATATATACTGCTGTTAGGGGTTATAAGCATTATAATTGGATATTACTAATTGCAATCTGTGGAGACTAGCTCACACTCAAGCCTGGACATTCAGTTTTAGGAAGAAGAAAATAATGAATGGAATAAAAAACATGAATATTTCATCAGCAGCTCAGCTCAGGTAAAGCACAGAAACTTTTTAAGCAAAAGCACTTTTTCGTTTTAGACACTAAAAAACCCACTTTTTTCATTTCCTTTTCTGAAGGAGAATAAAACTCCTTAAACTTTAGTAGCTTGGAAAATTCTTGTCCTAATTTGAAAAATGACTCGAAAAGAATTTTACTCAGTAGAAGACTACACTTCAGATATCTCTGCTTCACTGTAACTGTGGTTATTAATATCTGATCACATATAATTAATTTATTAAACAGCAGTAATATTCTGTTCATAAGCTTTTCCAGAGAACAAAGACTAAAGCTGTAAAATAATCCTTTTGCTGTAAATGTAAAAACACTAAGAAATGTCTTTAAAAATAACTTTTCTTCTTAAATATATTTTTTTAATCGCCTAGACTTCTCCATGAGACAGGAATGTCTGCTTTAGAGTGTATTTTGGAAGCCATACTCCTGCTTCCATCCAGAGCCCTCTGAACTGTGCACCACAAACACAGAGGAGAGCAGTTCCAGCCCAAAATCTGGCTGCTAGTGCAGCACCTGGAGATAAAAATCAACACAGAGGTGTTCACACTGACATTATTTCCTCTGTTAGATTTGTTCATTGCAGCGCTGGGGATAAAGTGGCATTTTCTACATAACAGCCTTGACTCCTTTTACCTGGAGAAACTACCCAAAGAGTCTCCCTTGCCTCTAAATGGTTTCTGTGAATTTTGGCTGTTGTGTGTACTTTAATGCATTATAGCACCTGGAGTGGCTGCAGTCATTCCTGAGACAGCATGGTAAATACACAAGAAAGTAATGTGGAAGTGTTTCCCATTCTGTTTAATTTTATCTTTTCTGGTTGTGGATCTGTAAGGCACATCAGCTTCTGCATCTTTCAGATGCTGAAATGTAAAAATAATTAGTCATTCTGCTTTATTATGTGGGAGGAAGCAAAGGTGATAGTAGCTTCCAGAATGATGTGAGCACAGTACATAATTAAAAAAAAATATATAGGATGAAACAAACAAGCAAACACCTATGGGTAATAAATGAACTTACATATTAACATTGACCTGTTGAGTCCAGACACACACTGGAGTCTCTGTACCTGATCTACTGGCCCCAAGAACACACTGATTTTGTTATCAAGAACACATAGCTGTAAATATAATTGCCGTACTGATTTCTCTCCCCTTAGGTACCAACCTGAGCAGCAGCAGAGGAGAGCTGTGCTAAGCACAGGCACATCTGGCAATGCCTCAGCCTCAGAGTTCCAGGCAGCATCTCCACATTTTGTTTGCAATCCTATTTCCATGAGCTTCGAAGCTCTGAGATAAAGCAAAGCAATGACAGCCAATAACCAGGGGCACCTAATTGAACTTCAGGCTGCTGAATTACGTTGGAAGGAACGTGGCAGTACTTCCTACATTTGCTTTTCTAGCCTGGCAGGCATTCCTAGTTTTTCAGACTTCCAGCTTTGCCAGAAAATGTAGGTGCTAATACACACCAGTTGTATTACCCTGGAAGAACATCCCCTAAAGTGTTTAAGCTGGATTCGAAATGCAGAAGAAATAATCCCAAACCACAATTATCTTTTGAAAAAATAAATAAGAAAGCACTAAATCCTTGAGGAGGGTTGATTAAATCCTCCACCCTTCTAAACACTAAAGGATGTTATATTTAAACACATGAGGGATCTCTGATGATTCCCAACACAGCTGGCAGGGCAGCATTTGGTGCCACGTAGCTCATGGTGCTCTGGAGTCTGTGATTCAATCGAGTGATGCTCTTCCTCTTGTGCTTGCTTCACACAAGAGGTGTGGGATGGATTTACACTGCAGTTAAGTTTTACGAGGCTCTCAGTATGTTCATTTTTCTGCTTTGAGGATGAATTCGCCTAAGAGGGTATTATTAATTGTTTTGCTTTTAGTTTTCTGTAAAACAGACTGGATTTGAAAAAACAACCCCTTAATCTGAAGAAATTCTTAACTGGCAATTTATGCATCCATTTGCCTCATTTTTTTCTTGTCTAAGTTCCCTTTAATCTTAAATTATTCAACACACCAACCTAAGAGAGTTTGTAACAGAGTTGTACCTTGGGCTTTTTGCATGAATGCCACTAAATCCGTTTCCTTTGCTTCCATTCGAAAATGTAATCACAATCAAGAGGCTACAATGAACTGCAAAATTTAACTTTATATTCTCATAAGGTACTAAAACCTGCAAGATAAGCCCTGCATCTTCTCGTGAGTCCAAGAAAACCCTTTGTCTTGGACATATTGCACCAACTGTGTCTAAATGTTACTTGGGCAAATCTGATCTAACTTAAAATAAGGTTCCTAATTTGTGTGAATGGGGTTTTTTACTTATTATGGGATCTAAATACAACTTTGGCAACACTACCTTAATATTCTTATTGAAAACTTCATTAGATTAGGCAATTTTTTGAAAGTTATGGAGGTTATTTCTGCCACCTCAAACAAATACACTAACATATACCATTCACACACACAAGGTCTGGTATCTGAACAGGAGAAATTAGTTTTACACAATTGTATGTAATGATTTACGCTTTAAGCACTTCTCCAGAGTATGTGAGCAAGTACTCAAGGGGTGTTTCTGCAGTGTAGAGGTTATCACATCTGCCTCTCATGCAAACATTCTCTGGTAGGTAATGGAGCAGAAAATAACTCAAGTTACTTCCAAATTTATCAAGCTGGACTCAATGATTTTAAGGGTCTTTTCCAACTTGAATGG